CAATTACTTATTATTTATTTATTATAACAACACATTATTGTTTTAGGAGCTTGGATCACAGCCTTTGCCAACATCAGCTGATGAATCAGATGGTCATTGTGTGTCCATTAATCGTCCTCGATCAGGTAATGTATTAAATTAAAAACTTTGACTTTATTTATTGTAATTTTAATTGGACATGCTAAAAAAAATAGTTAGATACCTAACATTGGTTTATTATCTGGTTTTGTTTTACTGCTGATTATTTATACTTGATTGATAAAACGTTAAGTGGGAGAAATACATTTCCATCTTACTGTCTATTATCTTTGACATAAAATTTTATCACATTGTATTGTATTCATTCCATTTATAGAAAAAAAGTCAGTTATTTCAATGATAACTCATGGCCAACAAGAATAGTATAGTCTCTTTACTAAAACATACATATTCATTATTATTAACAGAAATATTTATTACACTTAGTTTTATCAAATATTTAATACTTTTATTAATGTATTTATACTGAAAAAATAATACATGTGATGTTAAATTAAAAATTGCTGTATTAGCATTCAAAATACTCTATTGAAAATTTTTTAATATTATTTAAGTAAAATGATAGAATTAGATGCCAGAGATTTTTCAGGTAACATAATCTTAATTATTATATATTTATTTATATTTAGTTTAGGTTTCACCTTATCAAATTTTTAAATGATTTGCATTTTTTTTTGTAATATTTTACACAAAAATCTATATAGTATAAAGACTTTAATTTTAACGAACTGTATAGCAAATTATTGAAATTTACATAGTTAATCTTCATACTTAACATTCAAAAACAATTAAAATATATACATCATTTTTGTATTTAATGTAGGCACTTGGAGTAAAGGTGGATCAGCTCCGGTTCTTTTACCAGCAGTTGTTGCTGCTCTTACTAAAAATAAAAAAAATTCAATTAGTGTTGAACGGCGTCAATCGGGTGATGACATACTTGCAAAAGGAACTCCAAAAGTACAATTGTTGAAAAATAAATCTCAACAAACACAGTCTCCCCCACAAAATATACAAAATACACAAAAAAGGCTATCACCAAAACCACGTACGGCACAATCACCTTCTCACACTAGAAAAACAAATGTTCTCTTAGATGCTTTTCGACCACGTTCTAAATCTGATGCTGCTTCTAAAAAAAACAGTACAATAATGTTCCAAATGAAAAATTCTATTCAGGTAAATTTTGGAGCCTAATAATTATATTAATAAATTTTATGTGTATTTAATTTTTTTTTTTTTTAA